AAATAATGGCTGATTTTCACATTATTTGTTAGTATTCTTTGTACATATAGTTGAAGGAACCACAGTGGCTTCTCAGAGCATAATTATAATTATCTTAAAGTTTTATAATAAGCTTTTCTTCAGAGGAAACAGCATAGTTCTGCCAACTCCAAAAACTGGAGTTTGTCCTTTAAATCCAAGGGACTCAACTATAGGAGAACAATTCCTGTACTTTGGAGAAATTTCTTGAACAACTTGAGAAAAATGGGGGTGGAAAAGAAGAAACATTTGCACAAGGTTCATAATTTGTCTTAGGGTTCTCCAGTGGAAGAAGACCAATAGAATGCATATAATTATAGCTCTGAATATAATTATTATAACTATGTATATAATTATTAGAGTGGCTTACTTAATCAGAGCTGAAGAGTCCCACAGAGGCCATCTGCAGGCTGGAAAGCTGGGGAAAGCAGTAGCTTTCAAGTGCAAGAAGCTGGAAGCCACAGAATAATGGATGATGTTGCTCCAATACAAGGTTTGGAGGCCTGAAAGCACCTTGGAAAGTTATGGGTCAAAGCCTTCATTCAAAGATTGAAGAATCTAGAGTTTGATGTCCACAGACAATGGCAGCAATAAAAAAACTCACTTGCTCAAGAACGGTGCAGTGTGTGTGCTTGCTTAAGCCTCCACTTTCTTCCATTTTTTTTTGGCTCCATCAAGGCCCACAAACTATTGGATGGTGTTTCCTATCCTCATGCCTGATCATCCCCACTCAGTTTACTAACTCTCATGCCAATCATCTAAAAACACCCTCTCAGGCACACCCAAAAGTGTGCTTTACCAATTTTCTAGACATCTTTCCCTCTAGTCAAATTGAGAAGCAAGATTAAATATCATAGAGTTTTAAGTGCCAGAAACCCAGAGTTGAGCCTCAGCACTGCTATTTATTACTAGAACATTAAACTATTCAAAATAAACAGCGTCAGAAGGGCCTTTCTTGGTCCTCGTGTGGTACCTGAATCCTAACAAAAATGTCGAATTGATGAAAATGTAGCTAACGCACATATTAACAGTTACTACTTTTTTCTTACCAGTGTGATACTTTGGCATCTTGAAAATGCATTCTTACTTTGCAACCTTTCATTTAATGCTTTTAGTTTCAACTGATGATCCTTACTTGAATTAACTATGCCAATGGGAATGTAAAATGATATTGTCCATTTTTTCCTTCCATGTTTCTTCTGAAAATTTTCTCCATAAAGGAAATTTTTGTCTCATTAGCTGGAGGTAAACTTCAAATTCTCTTTTAAAAAGATAGCCTTAATCTTTAAATTTTTTTCTATTTAATTACAAAATTCTGGAGTTAGGAATTGGGTAATGGCTTTGTCCATGCTAGCAAGTGAATGTTTTCTCTCTATTTTAATATCACTATAAAATCTTTTATAGTCATGACTTTTTTATACTCCAAGTGTTCTGGGTCAGGACAATGAGGCTTTCGTGTTCTCCTGACACATTCCCACTGGAATCTGAGTGCACAAGATGTCCATGGTTCACTTTGTATGCTTCTTACTTGAGAGTAATAATCATTTCTCTCAAGTGCCCTGCTCTATTTTAGGGAGAAATTGTCTATAAATCATGACCTGGTAGTCAACTGTGCTCATTGGTGCATCATTGCTTCTAGGACTTTCAGTGAGCCAACCTCAGAAATGCAAATTTTTGAAGAATAATTTTGACACATAGTTTTTAAATTAAATGTTAGACAGTGTTATCTCTAACTTTTCCAATTTTATTTCTTAATCTTACTGAGATGTTCAATTATATTTCAACTATGTTTCTAAGATTTTCAGATATTAACTCATCAATACTTTTAAAACTTTGTGATGGAGGTATTATTAATACACTCAATTGACAAATAAAGAAACTAATACACAGAAAGGATAAACGACTTGCTCAAAGTCAGACAGAAGTGGGAATTAAATTTCCAAATTATATAATTTTATCCAAACTTAATTCTTTCAACCACTCACAGTAATAGAAACTAACCTAGCAATATATAGGCAAGCATTTTCAGTTTATTTGAATTAAGAGATGTAAAATGACTTCTGTTTGACACAGTAGCTGTTTTATGATTGTAGATAATTGCATGTTTATGTATCTAATTATATTTATGCAGTGCTGGACAAGACTATTAATGCTGATATGCATAATGGGTGTGTTAGTCAGCTTTCCTGTCACTGGAACAAATTCCCTGACACTCAACACAATTTAAAGATGTAAAAGTTTATTTGACTCACGGTTTCAGAAAGTTCATCTATAGCTGCAAGACAGAAACATAATAGCAGAGGGGCATAGTGAAACAAAACTATTTAGTTCATGGCAGCCAGGAAGTAGAATACAAAAACCGCACCAGAGAGGAAAAGGCAGGGACCAGATACCGTACCCAAGGGCATGCCTCTATGATCAACCCAGACACATCTAGAAATATGCTTTACTAATCCCCTAGGCAGCTCTCAAGTAAATCAAGTCGACAATCCAATTTAACAGCCACATTCCACCCCTTGTCAACTTGACGCTCAGACATATTTCCTTCAATCATACTTAACCTCCAAATAAGCACAAGGTCATAATTCTGCCTAATGTGATATGAGTATCCCATGTATAGCCAAAATTGCAATAATCCTTTTTCCAAAGTCTCAACAGTTCCACCACTGCTCAAAAGTTCAAGTCAAGGACTCCTCTTAGCTATGAACCTCTGTAAAAATACAAAACAAGTTATATAATCCCAAAATATCATGGCACAAGGCAAATATTCCCATTCCCTAGGGAGAAATAGAAAGATAGAAAAAAATAATGTCAAAACAAGAGTGAAACTCAGCAAGGCAAACATGAATTCCTGTAGCTCCATGCCAAGCATCAGAAGGCCAGATATGAACTCCATGAGGCCTAGCTGACCCTACTCCTGTGCTTTGCTGGTTTCAGTCTACATGGTCCCTCTCTTGGGCTGGCTCTGCTTAATGCCTGTGGCTTTCCTTGGGGTCTCCACTGCACCTTTGCCTTCTCTTCCCATAAACCATAGTTTCATGCACTCACCTCTCAAAGCCAAACTACTTCACTTCTCAGGGCTTCCTTTGAACTGTGTGTGGAAGCTGCATGTTCCCAAGACTCTTGCATTCCAAATGCCTGAATAATGAGCATCATTATTATGGGTGATGTCAAGATCTGCCACCAGGGCAAGCAATAATCAGGACTCCTTGGACTATGGCTGCAGCAGACCCTATGTGCCTGGATAGCTTAGCATAGTGAAATGAATCCCAGGGGACCAATTCCCTGGGTGGCCTTTCTTGAGCATGGGGCCAGGGTCTCCCTTCTCAAATCAAACTTTTACTATTTTGGCACCCTGGAACCCATGATGGGTGGGGCCTTGCTGATTCCTGAAATATCGCAAACTATCTTTCTACTTCTCCAAGTTCAAAATACTTTTGTGTGTGATGTTAATCTCTTCAACAACCATATCTTTTGGAGCTCCAACTTTATACTTGTTTCTTCTCAGGCCAAAATTTAAGTTTTTTCAAGCTCTATGTTTTGCTCTTGATCTTGCTATAAATCTAGGTTAAAGTAGCCAACTGTAATCATGCCAAAGGCTGAACTTTGATTTGCCTTGAAATTTCCTCCACCATATCAATTAGTCCACTGCCCTTAAAATCAGCCTCCCACAAAGTCCCAAGACATGGGTAAAATGTAAACAAAATTTTACCAGAGTATGATATGAATGACTTCTGCTCAGTTCACAGTAGAGTCCCTGCTCCCAATAGAAATCTCCTGAGTGTAGTCTTTACAGTCTGCATTTCTATCAACATCCTGGACTTCTGAACTCTGATCAGAATCACCCTTCAAGCTCTGCTTACAGAATTCTAGAGTTTCTGTTGCCTGCACCTTTCCAAATTCTTCAAACCTTTCCAAATTCTTCCTACAAATCAAATCCAAAGGTTTCTGAAAAGTGAATAATAACTTTTTAACATAGGATAAATTAATAATTTACTCCTTAATTTAAATTAGCATTTTCTTTTTCTGTACCTTTTCAGTGTTATAGCACACAGTAGGGATTTAAGAAATGTCATTTAGTGACCTTCAAGATTGCAGAAAATTATTTAGTCTTTAAATATTATTTCAAAATGTCCAAATACACGTTCTGTAATATTAGTGCAAAAAGAATACTATTGTTTAAAATGTAATACAATATAAGAAAAAAATTGAAGAAATATAACAAACTTTACCATAGAAGAAACAATTATAAATTCTTGCATATACTTTCTGCATAAAAATTTTAAAGTCTTCTAGACATAAAATTTCTGTTTATCATTCTATAATTTGTGTACAGTAAAAGGCAATGTTCTCAGCTGAACCAATACATATTAAAATATAAATGAATAGTTTTTATGTAAAGTTGTATATAAAATTTCTTAATCATTTCCTAAATGAACAAATTGATCACTTTTTCTGATAATTTGTTCTACATGAAATTGTAGGATTTTAAACTATAGAACCAAGATCAGGTTCTTGTAGTTTAATTATAAAAATAACCCCAGGTTAATAGTTCTAGAAATCCTGAGTGTTGATTTCATGAAAACTGTGGTAATTATTCCATTTGTGGTAAAATTACTGTTCTTTGATTGGCTTCATGATAACTGCTGCAGGTACAATATAGTAATGATGATGAAAAGAAAATAAAAGTAATGACAATAATATACATTCAGTTACTGTAGCAGTGGTAGCTATAATTTTAGTTTTGGGGAAAGTCAAGGTGGATTATAGTTGTCAGTTTATTTGCAGTGGTGAATTAACTACTGGTTAATTTGATATAGAAGAGATCACTGCAATGATCGGGGTTAGTTCTGTTAAGGAAAAATGATAAGGGTAGACTTTGTGATTGCAGGTGGAAATGAATAGGTGAAGACTGTAAGTTATTGAAGGAGAGGGGTGAGCACTGTTAGGTAGAAGTCACATGGGCCAGGGATTTAGCTCAGTGATTCCGCCACCTGCCTTGCAAGCACAAGGTCCCGAGTTCGATCCCCAGTACCAAAAAAAGAGAAGTCACAGTATTTGTAGGGCAGATGGAAGTAGTATTTGTTATAGATTTAGTTGAAGTGAACATAGTTGAGGGTACCATTGAAAAGATGGTGCAAATGGTGATTGTTTCAGCTGTCAGCTAGGCTCACTGAAGTTACAACAGTGTTAGAGTCTGTTAAAGAGGTGGTAGCTGTGGTTCAACTTCAAGTGATAAAATAGCTGTTATGGCTGTAAACTAAATTGAGGGATAGAGATTGCAGAGTCAATTGGAATGATGGCTGTAGTGATTTAATTGTACACTGAGAGCCAACTGCAACAGCTGTGGATCCTGTGGCAGAGGTAGCAGCTGTGGCTTCACTCAAAGTTGTGGCTGTTGTGGTAAGAGGTTATGTTGTTGAAGCTGTAGTTCCACTGGATGTTGCAGTAGTTGTAGATCCTGTGGCAGCTGTGGTGACTGTGCTTTCACCTGATGTTGTAGCTGATGTGGTTGCAGGTGGAGCTAAAGTGATGGTTGAGGCCATTGCTGTTGTAGTTCCAGTGGAGACTGCAGTGCTTGTAGATCCTGTTGAAGTGGTTGCTGTTGCAGGTTGAGTTGAAGTGGTGGTCAGTGTAGACTGAGAATTAGTAGAGGCTGTTGCAGGCCCTCCGTTGTTTGTGGGTGGCTGGATAACAATGGTGGAATTATTTCCTTTATTGTTTACCAGGGATAGTATAAGGACTCCAATTGCTGTTGTTATCATACTTGCCAAAAGACAAGCCAGGAAAACCTTCCACAGAGAGCACAGAGACTTTTCTTTTATCTAGAAGTGTAAATAAAAATATGCATAATAAAGTAAAAGATTGTGATTTTTATCTCATTTGTATTAATTATAACTTATTGCATTAATATTGTTTGAATCATTAGGTGTCTATGAATTTTAGGCTTAAAAAATTCTAAGTTTTCATCCAAATGGAAATAATTTCATGCTTTCCCTAGCATTAGAAAAAAGACAAAATTCCCAATATCTGTACATTATTTTCTTTCATTTTTTTCCTTTTTCATAGACTTTATATTTTAGAGCAATTTTAAATTCACTATAAGACAGAGTGGAAGATAGATATCCTACATACACCCTGCTCCCACATACACACAACTTAAATATTATCGTCCCCACTGCAATAGTGCATTTGCTATAATTAATAACATGTAGTTATCACCCAGAATCTCTACTTTATATTAGAGCTCACGCGGTGCAATATATTTTATAGGTTTGGGAAAATATACATTTGTAATGTACAATAAAATATATTCACCATCATGGTATTATACAGAGTAGTTTCACGGCCTTAAAATTTTTCTCTGTTCCAGTCAATCCTTCCACCCTCATCCCTACACCCTATGTGTTGTTATGTAAGCAGAAAAATATGGGTAAATTATAAATTCTCTTTCACACGCTTGATCCTTCACAAGATATTGTCATTACCCTAAACTGCTTCACTTCCAATATTGATACCAGTCACTCAGGTCCATATGTTCATATTAATTTGCTCATCACTAACCAAGTCAAAGGCCATTTATTTTGGTTTTAAAAAACAAAGGAAAAAGGATTTATTCACAGCTATCTCTGAGGAGATGGAGGGACCTGCTTGCCTCAAATGCATCTCACCATGTACAGGTGGGTAAGGTTCTTTTAGAGTAGGGAACATAGGGGAGGGAGACAGAGAGATACTGAAGATCCCCACACTTGCTTTATTTCTGACAGCCATCATCAGCATTGTCCCCTATTTTGTATAAATAGGAAACTGGACTCCAGCCATATGGGGCCTGTATCTGCATATTCTGTAACCGCTTTGGGGCTAAGGAGTGAAGCAGGTGTTGGTCATGTGCTCATCAGCAGGAGAAAGTTTAGAGGAGTTGTTTATCTCCAAAAGAAAAAAGCCTAAATTTCAAAGATCTATTTTGCACTGCCAGTTACAGCTCTCCACTGGCTTTAGTCCAGCCCTCAAGTTTGAGGGCCTAGTGATGCCCAATCATCTGACTGGCTGTCTCATGTTGGATTGATCCATAGATTCCATCAAGGAGAACTGGGACACAAGCAAAGGGTGACCAGATGCTTGAGCCTGAAAAAGTATCACTAAAAATGGTGAAGTCAAATACAAAATGAAGCCAAAGTCAGGAGATATCTAATCATTAGCCCTGCTAGAAGGACTTTTTGATTTTAGGCAATCATGCATCAAAACCTTTCATAACCTCTGCAGCTCTACTTATTTTTGTAGGGTTGACACATAGGTGACTCTGATGCTCACAACTTCCCTGCTCAAACTAATGCATTTTGCCACCACGTCCAACAGTCAGGGACTTAAAACCCATTTCTGCTATGAACCTAACACTGTTAACAAATGTCTAGTAAAATACTGCCTCTTAAACCCTCTTCCACTCAGATTAGAAGCAGGCTTCACTTTACTATTGCTATATAATATCTTTAGAAGCTAAACAATTTAAACAATTTAACAGAAGTACACCTATCCAGTGCTATATTAATGTATGCCACATTATCTCAATGTTCAACCAACTCTGATTCCTAAGAGATCATAAGACACCACAAACTCAAAAATCTTAATTACATTTCCTTTATGTTCTTCAATCTTTCTTATAACTTTTGTGAAACTAAAAATTCTCTTTTGAATGATAAACACCTAAAATGTAATCCTGATTGACTAACATGGCAATATAATACACACAATAACATAAACATAACCTTTGTGTTATCTTTTAAACGTTTGTTTAAGTCCTGTAGTCTAAAAAGCATTTGGGTTTAGGCTTTCTTAATTACTAAGCATTCTTATTTTTAAATTAATCTGGTACCATCTAAGCAACACAAATATAGGTACACACATAGACATAACATATAATACATATATGCACACCAACATAGACAAAACACAGATTTAGATTCATCATTTACCAGCTTTTTAAAAGTTATATTATTGGCATAATATACCTTTATAACCCTAAACAATATTTAAACCTAAATTAGATGTTTGAAGGTAAGATTCCTGGTTCTAGCAATGTGAGGAATAAGCAACTCAAAGGAGATTACTTGCCCATTAATATGAGTTTAAATTTCCTGAGGCTCTGTGTGTGTGTGTGTGTGTGTGTGTACTACATCATGGGTCTTAGTCAATTCAAAAAGTTGTTGATCTGGATTTTAAATCATTTCCCATGCTAAAATTTAGACATAGCTAGTCAGAAATTTATACATGTTATTATGGCTCCCTTGCTCAAGGACTCTGTTGCTTAAAAAAAGAAAAGAAAAAGTTTAGGAACAATACTCCCCACCTAGAAAACACAGAGGAAAGCCACTGAGGTCAAATCCCTCCATTTTTTTGAGTTGAGGAATGAAGGTAGCAGGAAACAAAAATTAATTTCCAGTAAACAGACATTTATGACAAATAGTTGAAACACAACCAATTAAAAATAAACGAAGGACTGTTAGCCAAGATGATCCTGAAGAAGTATCCCTAAAAATTGTGAAGTCAAATACAAAAGAAAGCCAAAGCTGAGAGATATCTAATCACTGCACTTGTAGAAGGGCTTTTTGTTTTTAGACAATCATGCATCACAATCCTCTTTCCTAATCTCTACAGCTCTGCTTATTTTGGTAGCATTGACTCTTTGATGCTCACAACTCTCCCTCCTTGTCAAATGTGTTTTGTCCCTCTGGATATCCAGGGACTTAAAACCCCTTCTTGCTATAAACCATAACATTTTTTTTTGGTACCGGGGAATAAACAGTAACTTTTAACCAATGTCTAGCAAAATACTGCCTCTTAAGTCTCCTTCCAATAATACTGTACTAGAAGCAGCCTTCACACTGACTACTGCTACATTACATAAAGAATTTAAACTAAAATAGGAGACAGCCCAGACAATGCTCTATTGAAATGTATGTACATCATTGTTACCAGCCACCTAGTTTCATATGCTCAGGTTAATTTCCTTGGCACTAACTAAATCAAAGGAGTTTTTTTTTTAATTTGGTCAAAAGGAAGAGGATTTATTCAATGCTAGCTCAGAGGAGATGGAGGGGTCTATTTGACTCCCCATCTCACCATGCACAGGTGGGTAGGGGTCTTTTGTAGTAAGGAACAGAGGGATGAGGGGAGCACAGAGCGCCAGTGCAGATCTCCACAGTTGCTTTATCACTTCCAGCCCTCTTAAGCTCATTGTCCCCTTTCTCCTGGAAAGGAAACAACTCAGGAGCTCCAGGTTGCAACATCTGCATATTCTGTCCATTCATCTGGGCTGAGGAGAGGTGGGGTAGCCATTTATGCCCTATGCCTCAGGAATTTTGGAGAAGCGCTTGTCTCAAAACAAGAAAAAAACTCTAACTTTCAGAATTCCACTTTTCAATGCCAGTTACATTATCTCAATGTTCAAACAATTTTGATTCTCAAAAGACCTTAAGATCCTAACAAAGTAACAAATTTTAATTACATTTCCTTTATGCTCTTCAGTCTTTCTTATAACCTTCATGAAACTGAAGATTCTCTTCTGAAAGTCAAACACCTAAAGTATAATTCTGATTGACTAACATGGGAATACGCATTTTAGTAGTTCTAAGCACACCTTCATGTTATCTTTTAAACATTCACTTAAGTCATGTGAACAAAAAGGCATTTGGGTTTATGCTTTCTTAATTATTGGATGCTCTTATTTTTAAAATAATCTCCTACCACTTAAACAATATACAAACACAAGTACACACAGACACAACATATAGTACACACATATACACCAGTACACACAAAACAAAGACTTAGATTTATCATTTACCAGCTTTCAAAAGGTTATACTACTGGTGTAATACTCCTTTTTACAATCCTAAACAATAATTAATCCTAAATTGGATATTTGAAGGTAAGATTCCTGGTGGTAGAAATGTGAGAAATAGGGCCAGGGATTTAGCTCAGTGGCCCCGCTCCTGCCTCACAAGCACAAGGTCCTGAGTTCAAACCCTGGTTAAAAAAAAAAAAAAGGTGAGAAATAAACATCTCAAAAGAGATTGCTGACCCAATTAATCTGAACTGAAATTTCCTAAAGCTTTTTTTTGTGTGTGTACTTCACAATAGGTCTTAGTCAATTCAAAAAGTTCTTACTCCAGGTTTTAAGACATTTCCCCTTGTGCTAGACTTTAGACATAGCTGGCAGAAGTTTACACATCTTGTTCTGGCTCCATTGCTCAAGGCCTCTGTTGTGTAAAAAAGAAACAAGTTTAGGAACAATACCCCATTGAGAAAAACACAGGCCAGCCACTGTGGTCAAAATCTCCTTTTTTTCTAGTTGAGGAATGAAGGTGGCAGGAGACAAAAATTAATTTCCAGCAAACAGAAGTGTTGACTAGTAGTCCGAAACAACATGTTTAGAATAAACCAAGGACTGTTAGCCAAAATAAGAGGAAATTTAAACCCCAATAAGAAACTCACCATCGGCAGCCCAGCAGCAGCATCGTCTGTGGGCCCAGAGGGCTCCTGCACATACTTGTCACTGATCCAGAAAAGGGCAAGGACAGCAGCTATGGCTATTATGCTGGCCAAAGTTACTCCAGAGAATCTTGTTAAGGACAGTTGCATGAAACCAGAGTGCACTTTCAGTGATACAGGCCATGTTGTATCAAAATAAAATCACATTTTCCTAAGTCACAGGTCACTAAAACATCTTCAGGAAGTTATGATGTAGCATGTGCACTTTCCATTCCTGAGCAAATCACAACAGAGCTCTCCAATGTCTCTAGCTCCTTAAAGTCTCTTGATCCAAAGTTTCCTACCAAACAGTTCAAGAACTTTGAACTCATCACTGGCTCACAAAGAAAGCCTCAGAGTGCCTATGAGCTCCAGGTAGCTCACAAAAGCCCCAAACACAAGGAAAGGAAGGACTCTGTCTTGGAAGCATGGATTTGAACCTCTAATTGTCCTGCCCCAAAATGGGGAGCTCCCTAACCAAAGTGAGTGCTCCATGGAGTCTTAAATGAGGAGAGTCTTACTGCCTTGGATTTATATGTTGGAGAAGACACAGCCTGAGCAGTCCCTTACCATAGAATCCTGGCTGCAACCTGTCCAGTTACTATGCAGCTTCTAGATGGTACTGAAATTCTGCTGTCCATTCTAGAATACAAGTACTTGTGACAAGAGAAAAATAAAAGCAAAGCAAACCAATACAAATAAGTACTCCAAACCTACAAAAGAGAATTTTTTCTACCTCTGAATCTCTTCTTACACTTGCCAGTGTCCCAAAATGAACTACAATAGGTTAAACAACCACAAAAAAAGTGAAGGTGTTTATCTCACCCCAAATGGCACCGCAAAGCCTCTGAGCAGTAAGTGCTGCAAAATGACCTGTAATAATTCCCAAGGCGGTGAAGGTGCTTGCCTCACCCAAAAGTCCTAAGAAAATGTCCAAACGGTAGAGTGCACTTTCCAGCAGGAAACTGGCCAGAGCCTGTCAGCTCCCCCCAAAAAACCTTTTTCCTCTCACAACAAAAGCGTTTACAGGTAGCTTCTCCAATAAAGAGGAAAGGAAGGAGAATTCCTGGGAGGAACAGTGTCCCTGGCAGCTGCTGGAATATCCCTGGAGTCTGGGTCCTGTGTTCAGTTAAACGTGAGCAGTCAGTCCCGTTTCCCAAGGGCCCACTGGGGTTCATGCCTCCCAGGAGCCAGGACTTAATTCCTGGCTGGCTATGGCAAAACTGTTCCACACCACTCAGGCTCATATGTTCAGGTGAGTTTGCACACTGCTGGCCAAATCAAAGGAGGCCATTTATTCTGATTTTTTTTTAAAGAAAGGATTTATTGAAAGGTAGGTCTTAGAGAAGGAGGGATCCATTTGCCTCAAATTACTATCTCACGTTGTACAGGGAGAGAAGGGTCTTTTAGCATAGGGAACAGAAGGGAGAGGGAACACACAGAGACAATGAACATCTGCACACTTTATTGCTTCCAACCATCTTTAGTTCATTCACCCCTTTTTGTGAAAAGGAACCTGGGCTCCAGCCTCCTGGGGCCACTAACTACATATTGTCTCTGCTTTGTGGCTCAGGTCAGGAGAGCATGTTGGTTATGTGCTCAGCTGGAGGAAGTTTGGAGAAGCTATTTATCTCTAAAAGAAAAAAATCTAACTTTTAAAGTTGCCTTTAGCTCTGCCAGTTACAATATCACTTCCTCAAGAATTCTCTTTTCTAACCACCATATCCTCTTCTTCCAGATGTTTTTCTGTGATTGCATAATGATATTTCCTTCATTTGATCAAAATCTTATGCTCAGCAGTATGTACCTCACTCTCATCCATTCTTATCCATCTTTGTTCCATTACTTCACTTATACTCTTTTTGATACTCAGAATCTCTTGTCCTTCCCTCTTCTCATCTAGCTGAGTAATAAATGATGATATGTTTTTTCTGGACCTCCTCTGGAGCACCATCACAGGTGGGGAAAGCTAACTTCCTAGGCATACTAGAATCTGTAGAAATGTATGATCACTATTCTTGAGTGAATTTTCTGCAATGCTTCACCATCCTTTTCTATGTCTTGTATTAAGATACTTCATCAATTTTTAAATACTTTCCTAACTGTGCTCTCCCTCTTCAAACCTATAAGCTTCACCTACCTATCCTCATGCTCAAAATATTTCTCCTTATTCCTGTAAAATGACTTTACTTCCTACTTCACTAGGCAACTTGAGTCTATGGAATGAAAACCTCCTGCAAACTTGCAATCCTAACCAGTCCTGGACTCCACTTCTCCATGTCTTCTGATTGACAGGAGAGGAGCTGTCCCTCCTCTGTGCAACAGATGCTCCAACCTTACCTTTCGATGCCTTCCCCCCTACCCTTCCCAGCATCTTTTCCCTTTGCTGTCCCTTCTTTCCTTCTTTGGTGGAATATTTCCCTTTCCTCATTTAATCACATTCAAATCTCTGCCACTTTACACACCACACACACACACACACACACACACACACACACACACACCTATGATTTAAAATCCCTCTCTACTTTTCAACACAACATTTTTTAGAAGTTCCCCAAATGCAATGACTCCATTTGTACACTCATCCACCCAGTCCACTCTGCCTTCCATTCCAATCATACATCTGATAAATTCAATGAAATATTATTGAATACACTCACTAAATCTAATTCACATATGTAAGCCCTCTTCTTAAGCCCTTGGCAACATTTGTTGCTAGAGATTATTCCTTCTGCTCTCTTTTGAGCCACATCTTTGTTTTGCTTCTGTGATAATCTATTCTCATTGATTTTCTCCTAATTTCCCAAAATTTTTTGTTTCTTTTGAAGGCTCATTATCAACTTTCAGCCTTTATTGTTGACATTTCCAGACCTTTGTCTCTTTTCATTCTTGGTTTAAGGTCAGCAATTCTTTTCTGTAAATATTTTTAGCTTTGAGAGTCATTTGGCTCTGTCACAATTACTCCAATCCACCACTAGTGTGCAGCAGTTACTATCTAGGCAGTGAGTGAAGAAGTGGGCATGTGTCTCACTAATATCCAGTGTGTTCTGCATCGAGATCAGCATTATTGTGTTACCTATTTGATTCTTCTAGCAACCTATTTTAGTTACTGCATTCATAATTTTATTTGCTTTGCAGAAATACTGCTTTGAATTACCAAAAGATTAAGGATGAGAAGGATCAGGATCAGGAAGAATAGGAGGAGAAGGGAGAGGGGAAGGAGAAAGAGAAGTAGGATGAGGAGAAATAATGGAGGAAAAGAACATGACTATATTTTGATACACAACTTTATTTCCAAAAACAGGTAGTGGGCTAGATATGGCCACTCTCTGTGTTATGAGGCTGTTTCTTCATTCCAATGATTTTAATTATCATCCATAACTAAATGACTCTCAAAATTTCCCCCAGTCCACCCTCCCCTTAATGTTCAAATGCTCACAGACAGCACATCTTAGATGTCTAAGACACCCGAAACTCTCTGTTTACAAAGTCATGATCTTCCTAGTGAAACTTAACCAGTTTTTACATCTCACTTAATGGCACCCTAACCATTCATCCAGTACCCTAAGCTAGAACAAAAAGATCATCTTTGAAATCTCCCAATTCATTAACAAGTCCTATTAACTCTATTTGCTATGTATCTCCCAATATTATTGATATTTTCTCCACCTCTGCTGATATCACCCTAGTTCAAGATGCTTTTATTCCTGCCTTGTGCTTGGAGTGGCCTCTGACCACTCTGGTCTCGCATGCAGTGCACCGTGCTTACTTCTACAATAGGACTTTGGCACAGTTTGGTCCACCAAAAATGCCTTTTCCATCCTCTACTCACCTCCCACAATGTGATTAAAGCCAAGTCAGCTCAATGACTAGCAGCATTTTCTTTACCTTAACTGATGGCATGAAGAGGTTTAAGAAAAGGAAGGGGCAAAAGGATTATGCGTATCTGGCAGGAGTCTATCATATTTCTTTAAACAAAACTTCAAAATAGAATCTTAGTGAAATAAATTACACATAGTCAGACAATAGGAAACCCAGGTTCTCTTCCTGTTTTGGCCCATTCTGCCAAAACATATGTGACTTCTGGCAATTCTCTTAGCTCTCCTTAGCCATATTTCTCCTGAGTTTTCAATATTCAGTCATTATCGTTGCTAGCTGCATATCAGATTCACCTGAACATCTTTTTTTAAAACTATCATTGCATGGAGTTTATCCTGAGTTTCTGATTTAATTGCTTAAGGTGGTGCTCAGTCACAGTGCACATGAAACAGTTCCCAGGTAATTCTAATATGTAGTAAGGGTTAAGAAGCAGCAGAGTAGATGCTATCTACTATTACCACCTCTCTCAATTATGTGAACAATATGTCTTTACTTAACTTCTGCAAACAATAAAAAAGTATAACTCCACCTTATTGAACTCATTCATTCACGTTGCCCTAGAAACAATATAAATAATTGATATTTTTATCCAAAATTAAGAAACAAGGCTCAACACCTTTCCTCTGAACTTCTGTAGCAAGATTAAATAGAGAAGGGTAGGAATTTTGGAGTCTGGGGAACTCAACCAAACTGCCAAGCCAAATCCATAATTTATAGTCAAGGTCAAGTTTCTACATAATTGGGGAAGACATAGAGATGCAGTTATGAGGTAGATAATTCAGCCAACCAGATGTGACATCAGGAACCAAGAAGAGCTGAGTCTAACTTTCAAAGCTGGTGGAGAAGCTCAAGAGAAAAGTGAAGTTTCTAATTCAAGATCACACACACACACTAGAGGTCTGAAGTCAGAGAGATAAATAAAATGTCACACACAGGTTCAGAAACTGCAACAGTATTAGAAAGTACAGTTATCACTAATGCAATGGGATTCATGAAGCTTCACATGTGACAAGCTTCCCTATGAGGGTCTAAATAGCAAATTAAATCCTATGTAGCCAACAGTTTGTTTCCCTGCTCAGTCTCCTACCATGCATTTGCACCTTACATTAATTTCTTTGATTCTCATATGTATTCCCTATGTACTGTGACTATTTGGATTCCAGACTAGGACATTACCACTTTGAAAGTAGAGAATACCAAATATTCTTCCATAAATTGCCTTACAATGACTTGTAATTGCACTGAGAATTCAACAAATGCCTAACATGAATATAAATGAGCAATGAACCACATTTCCTAGGAAAGAACAGACCAAGTGCACCCCTATATACAGCACATCTCCACCTGGGAAAAAGCTACTGTAATACCAGACATTACCTGCATGTTGGATAATTCTGCCTGTGGGCATCTTGACTGTGCAAGGATTCCTGGGTTCACCCAGACCCCAGATAAGTTGGAGGAGATATCACTGGTTATGTCATTTGGAGGTGGACACCAGTGTGTGGAACTGTGAGCCTCTTGGTCATGTGAACATATGCTTGGCTATAGAGATAAAGCATTGGTGAATGAGAAGTCATGATGTTGAATTTCTAAAATCAAACACTTCTGTGAAAAGTAACAGCATGACTTTGAAAACAAATAAATGGTTTTTTTATCCATTGAGAGCAAATATCTGAACAGATTTTTAAATAATATATTTTACTAATTTTTGCAAATTGCCAGTGTTCCAGCTGAGGAATGTATAGCATACTGTCTTCATCAGATCACATGAACATATTAAGTATCTTCATGTTGCAAACCGCTGTAGGTATTGTCTACCTACAGAGATATATGTATCACATAGGAGAGCTAAAGAAGCCCTGGCAGCTTATGAAGTACAACTTATTCAGGTCATTTTGAAAAAGAGAAGTTTGAAGCGAAGAGTTAAAGTGATTGGTCATCATGACACAATAGCAAGCACTGAAATCCAGATCTTCCAGTGTTAAAGCCACTGTATTTTTTTTTTTTTTTTTTTTTTGTACTGGGGATCAAACTCGGGCCCTTGCGCTTTTGAGGCAGGTGCTGGAACCACTGAGCTAAATCCCTGGCAAACCACTGTATTTTTTAATATACTACATTATAGATGTATATTATGCTAATACAATACATTAGTGTGCATTAGTAAGTATAGTCTACCCAATGGACTCATAATAGGGACAGATCATGTGTCCAATTTATGATGTGTCTTTGTTGGGTATACAGCAATGCAAAAATATTTCATAACAACAAAATCTCTATCCACAAGGAACTTACTCACTAACAGGAAAGAAAGAGAATTTGTGTATAACTAACAAATAAATCCAATGATTTTTAAATATTGTTGAAAGGAAGTAATAAGTAAGGATTGAAAATGAATTATTTTAGTGGGAAAGACTTTGAGAAAGAGATGTGTTAAAAGAGGAGAAAGAATGGGATACATTAAAAGGAGAAAAGAGTAGATCCATGGTTATCGGGCAAAAGTTTTGTTACATTCCAAATACAGTGTAGAATTATATGGGGCCTTTTATTTCATAAGTTAATGATGTTTACTTTTTTACTTTGAATCAAAGCCATTTTGCCACTCCTTACTCCTCTTAAAAGATTACCCACTTGTGGATTTACAGGGATTTTTAATGAGTAAACAACTGCAAAACACTTAACACATCTGGCTCATAGTATCCACTCAATAAGTGTTAACTATTATTATTATTATTAGCATTAGTATTTAAGATCATTCCTATTTGTCTTTGATCATGTGGATTTAATAACTCATTACTGAGTAGCTCTAGAAACAACAAAAAAGTGAGTTAAACTGCTTAAAACTAAAGAGTCAAACTAGCAACAAAAAAAAAACCTATCAAACTTCAATTGTACAAAAAATACACGCACACAAAAACCAAAACCTAGAATTGTATGTATCCATTTGGGGTGATCATTAAAAATACAAAAATTATAACTGTCATTAAATATAAATAAAATAGAATATTCTTGGCAGAAAACAATTAACAAAGTTAAATTTTTCTCTAAGTATAATATCAAAGAAATAAAGATTACAGCTCTATATTTTAGTGAGAACAATTAAACAAAATCCCACCTGTTATTCGCCAGGTACATTTGAGGACAGTTGGACTTTATATTACCCCTCTTGCTTATTTTCGCAAGTACTGATTCTGTTGTGTTGGTTATATTTAGTTTGCCTGTTGTTGATGAACTCAAACATTCTAATACTCTTTATAACTCACCAGGGTTGTTTTCCAGAATTTTCTGCCCTCTTTGGAATACCAGTCCTTTCAAAGAAGACAGATAACGGGTGAGTCTACGCTCATGGTGGAGAACCTGTGATCCGGGTCCAGACGGAGTACAATGCAGCCCAAGTGGTCATTTTATTGTCAGGTTGCTCTCATTAAACAGAGGTAGCTTCTCTAGACAAAACTGCACTAAGTGGAGAGCTGTGGATAATGTTCAGTCAGATAATCAGCCTTAGCTCATGGTGGCTGGAGGCCACTGAAGTGCATTAACTGCATTTACCACAGAAAATCTGTAGGTATATTTTTTCCTTCCCTTTATAAGGATTAAGTTAAGATCTCATGTATCCTTAACAGAAAAACAAAAACATCAAAATTCATTTTCTATACTTTCTAATTTTCAAATTATTTTTAAATTCCATTATTGAATTTGGTTTTAAGAGAAAAATATTTTTATAAGTATGCCTAAATATCCATAATAAAGTAAAATATGCAGTCATCTACACAGGTAAACTATATAAACAACTTGAGATGATACATGAAAAACATCTTCAAGTTGATTGTTATCTCGAAAAACTATGAAGATAATGAATATCTGTCTAAGGGGGATTTTTTCCCCATCTATTTAGGCATCACGAAGATCAAAATATAAAGTGTCCGATTCAGAAGTGAAAAAGAGAACAGCCTCAGAAGGGTCGTTTGTTTAATGACCCAAAAGGACAAACACGTTTTTTTTCTTTTGGTCAACCAGGTGTCCTTCTTGGGATTCTTTTATCCAACCGTCATCCGCTGAGAAACAGGACTTTCTTCTCCAGTGTACTTGGTAAGTCATTAATGCAGACTGATTGCCACAGCTCCACATGGCAAGGGCAAAAAGTTTTCTTCACACACTTTTCATCTATTCTTCTGGCATTCTTTCTATTTTATCTTTCAGGACATGTGCTTCCTTTGTTCTGACACCAAAAATTACTTAGTAAGGTATACTCAGGTACATACAAGCACTTTTGAAGTCTATACAGTGAAAGCTTTGTTCTTGATGTACAACTGTTTTTTAAAGTAATAGGTAAAATTGAAGGTTTTTTATTTTAGACATGGTGACAGAATCTAGGATTACCATCTGGTTTTCTAGCACATTTAAAAATTGTATGTAAAATGCAGGTGTCACATTTTAAAAATATATCTTAATAACTAAGCCAATGATATTATTGGAACTTTATATTCACATAATAGTGAATATGGGAAATTAAATGTATTTATTTGCTTATCATATAGTCATAGAACCATTCCTACCACTTCTGTAAATATTTAAAATAATCTAAAATATATCAAAAATTGGGGCAGAAAATCTAATACAGGGCCACTTTTCCTTTTAGAAAGGAATGCAAAACTCTGACCTTGGCCACATACTGGTAAAGAGATTAGATGGCTTTTAAATGCTAAAAATTAGACTATAATTAGGCAAAATCAAAGTGGAGCAGCAATACTCACTAGCTGATTTCCAGAGCATTCAACATTCACTGTGTAGTTTCCATGCTTTCTGTCCATTCTTCCTCTATCAATATCACAAGCTTAACTCCAGGAATATTTTTCAGTCTGCCCATTGCCCTTTATAACTGCAACCATGAGAAATAATTAAATCAACTTGTGCAAAATCACTGTGATGCATCTGTGCAGTGTGGATTAAATTAAATAATATGTAATTATTTATTAAAACAGGATCCACCTCAGAGGAGGAAATGAGACATTAATTACGGAAAGACTCAAGATCAGTACTTCTTCTGTGAGTTGTTGTGACTACCATCAAAACCCTCCAGACAGAAACTGAAAATCTTGCATAATTCTAACTTTTCTGCTTGCTGACCATGTCTTGCTGACCCAAGAAAAAAATTCTGAGGTAGAAGTTTGCCATTGCTTTCCGTCATGCTTGAGTAGCATGAATGCCTTCCAACTCCTTGTTGGCACCCTCTCTTAGGAGCCTGTGGTCCTAAGGTCACTTCATCTTTTCAGTTCCACTGTAGGTGACTGAGAATCTACTTGGTCCATTTCTTCAATAATTCACATGCTCAAAAAAGAATTAGAATTTTAAAAATGATTAGAATCAATTTTCTGAGACATAATGCCAAAGAACTAATGGGATACTGAAACATGTTGGGAAGAGATTTTTTTTTGGTCAATAAATCTACTTTATCTTAAATTTAAAAAAAATTAACTCTTCTATTGGTTTATTCATTCATCAAGTGAGAATATTAAGCTTCTAAAATACCGAGTTTCAAAAATTTCAATAACTAACGAAACAAACCACACCCTTAACCTTTTTATATGACACATTTGGATTCTAACTCTTTTTCAAAACTGTAAACTGTTGAAATGTCTTTTGTGAATCTAGGTTTTTTATTGAATCAACAGAAGAAATACAGCCTCAAGCCTTAGAACATAAAGAACATGCGAAACTGGCCAAGGATTGAGATGCTAGGAAGGGATTTATTCTAAAGGACAATTAAAAACATGCTAACTTGTTACTATGGGTGAACCTGGAAGACATTAACACTAAGTGAAAAAAACCAGCCACAGAAAGACAAACACTGCAGGATTCCACTTACATGAAGTGGCTAGAGTAGTCAAATTCTGAGATACAAAAAGTAGAAGAGTGGTTCCCAAGAGCTGGGAAAAGTGGGAAAGGAAGAGTTCTTTAATGTGTATAGAGGATGAAGAAGTACTGATGCTGGATGGGAATGGTAGCTGTACAACATTATGAATGTACTTCACACCACTGAACTGTACACTTAAAATGGTTAAGATGGTAACTTTATGAGTATTTTGCTACCATAAAAAATTGAAAAGCAAAAACAAAGCCACAATGATCTACTAATGTTGAAACAAAGCCAAGGGTGCCATTGTATGGCCGTAGGATGCAAGGGATCAATGGTATCAGTAATATAAAACATAACTTTTGAATAAAGTGATTTATTTAAAAACCAACATGATATAATTATGAAAAATTATAAATACTGATTTCTTTAAAATATTTCTATAATTCTATTCTACAGAGACATTTATTTTCAAGTGGCACTGAAGCAATACAGCCACGATGTAAACTTTCCCCCCTTTTCATGGCATCTACTTATTTTACCAATGCCATAAAGAGTGGAACGTTACTTTTTCTGCTTGATTCTTTTGCCCACAACCTCCAATTGACCAAGAAATTATGAGTTACAAAATTTGAGAGATTTAATCTTTTAATTTTTAAAAATAATCACAAAAATAAAACAACATATTATGGCTAAACTTACCATGTAAAAAATAGATTTTTCTTTATCTTGTAAAGAAAATGTCTTTAACATATAAAGTAATAATTCTGTAGCTGCCTCAATCTGACCAACAGATAAACAGAACACATCTGTGTTGTTACACTGAGCAAGAGTTTGGGTACTTCTCATGTCATGTCAGAATCTCCTATAAAAGATCTCTGCTCTGAGCAGGATTTCTAGTCAAAAAGAAACCTGAAAATCTTGACTACACATGGTTGAGAGAATTCTTGCATATCAGGCCATTTTTGGGGGGAGTGCAGTGAAAGGTGGGGAGTCTGTTTCTCAGTCGTCTAATAGGGAGATGAATTCCACTGTTGTCTCAAAGCCTAGTTCCAAACTTTTTGTCTTTATTTATATTACTCAAAATTTTCTTTCCTGGCATTTCAATATACCTTGATTATTATTCTTTGGCTTATTGATAATCCAAAAGCTGACGTAACAGTTGCAGCCCTGTAACCTTAGACATGTTAGGGGAAAGGATTGTTGAACTTTGTTTTTGGTAATATTATTAACATTACTACCAAATATTCAGGCACAAAGACAGAATATCAAAGCCTAAGTAAGATACTGACATGAGATCCAGTTAATTCAAAAGCATGAACAATTCTTGTCAAAAAAAAATAGATGCTGAAAAATATACTTCTGGGCCAGAGATTTAGCTCAGTGGTTCCACCGCCTGCTTTGCAAGCTCAAGGTCCTGAGTTTGATCCCCGGTACAAAAAAAAAATATATATATATATATATATACACACACACACACACATACATATATATATACACACATACATATATATATACACATGCATATAAATATATATATTTCCAAAGTGCCCTATCAAAATTATTCAAATAGTTACAAGCAATCTTAAGTCAAATTAAAAATAAAACTGAAACATTCTACATATATAATGGTGTGTGTATATATATATATATATATATTACTATATGTATATGGTTAGCATATCATTACTGGGTACTCTTTATTATAGTTTTACAAGATGAGCCAATACCTATTGCAAGTATTCCTCCACTAAATCAAAAGCAATGAAAAGGTATTTATGCAATAAAATAAGATTATAATAATTAGCCTTTCTCAAAATAGAAACCTTAGGTGGAAAAGCACATTGATGTTTTAATGCATCCCACTGAATTTCTTAATTCCAAATTTAAAGTCTACTTATAAATTTTAAATACAGTTATATTGACAGAGCATAGACTTTCATTTAACTATTCCCAACTACTTACGGAGCACCTCACACATCCCAGGCATATCTACAACCTGGATATCAAACTAGGAGAGACCGAGGCAGACAAGGCCCCTGAGTACACTCTACCTTTATTTAATGAACGCTTGGATTTTTATTTTAATTTTTGTATTTATTGAAGATGTTGTAAATTTGTTTAATCATAGAAAACATTCATTTTGTTTAATTTAAGGCAAGTTTTTTGGTTATTTTGTTTTTGTTTTTGTTTTGCATATTGGGGAAATTGGAGGACGGACCTAATGGCAAACATGTATCAACTTCAATGAAATAAAGGGCTCCTACATAATTCGTCTCTAAACTGGGTCACTGAATCTATGACTTTTTTCTAGGGGATAAGGTTCAATTGTAGGGTGATCATTGCTGTGTGAATGTTCTTTCCCCTACTAAGCTAAACTTTTTCTTGTTCATTAGACTAAATTACCCCATGGTCTTGTTTCTGGCGATATCCAAAATAAACTATTTTTTCTTACAACACAGGTTATAATCCCAGATGCACAATTCCAAAATCCAAAAGGCTTTAAAAACAGAAATGTTTAAATGTTGGAACAATTATATTTGACATAAAAGTTAACCTAGATATTCAATGCTATTTTAATCTTTATTAAATTTAATGTGATTATTCATATGTTCAACTGTAAAAATATAAATGTTTAGTGAGGCCATTGCCACATGAACTGAGTAATATACAGGATATATACCACAATACCTTTGAAAGTTTTTTAAAAATCTGAATTATGAAACATATCATACCCAACATTTTCATATGAAAGATTATAGGTTTACATAACTGTTACAACTTTTTAAAGATAAGTATGTCTCTTTTTATTCTCACTGTTCTCAACAGCTATTTCGTGAAAGATTTCAGCTGATTCTTACAACTGGGATTTTAAAAATGTGAATGAGAAAAAGAATGAAATAAAATATAGGTTCATCAATTTAAGAAATGTACCCTCTGGTGGGGAACATTAACACTGGGGGAGGCCTTGCCTGTCTGGGGGCATCAAAACATACTTTTCCTTTCCATGCCTTTTACTAAATTTTGCTATGGATAGAAAACTACTCTAAAAATAAAATCTATTTTAAAAATAACATAAAACTGGTTTTTTCACTTCTTATTTTTTTATTAGTACGTGTTTGCATTACATAATGATTACATTCCTCATGAGGAGTAGGTACATGGACAGAGCACATCTCGATTCTTTTTTGATGGCCTTTCCCATCCGCCCTCTCTTCTCCCTCCTTCTCTAGATTCCTTTCCCATTTGAAAAAGGTCTCTTTCCCTACTTTGCATTATCTTTTATTTTGCTCTTTAGTTATATTTTGGCTGATATAAATAAATATCATGTGATATCTAAGCTTGTTTGTCTGATTTATTTTACTTAATATTGTGGCTTAATTGTAACAAATGGTGCTGACATTGGGCGACCTCTGACACAGACTATTAAAATAATACTATTGACATCATAAGATGTTCATGCCTCTTCCAGTAGGTATACCACACTGCCCATAGCTAATCCTTGTAATATCTACAGGCATTAAGTATTGTTATTCCCTCTCTTCTGATGAGACATGCAGGGTTTCAGTGACCTCTTACAAACTTTAATATGATATAGTGAGTGGCCCTCAGCTTCCCCATTCATTTATTGTTTACAGCCACTTATTAATTGTCTAATGTGCACCACACTGTGGCCTAAGAAGAGTGGAGAGAAAAAGTCAAGGACAACTCAGAGTTTGAGTTTATTATAAAGACCATAAAACTTTCAAAACTTGATAAACTCTCATCAAGATTCATCGGGGAAGTACGGATGTTTACTAGAAGCGAGAATGGTACTGTTGTCTGAAATGAGATCTGCTCACAAGAACCAAGCTGGCTGGGATTCAGGCTGTAGCTAACAGTAAGGACCACGCAACTCGCAAGGCAGAGATGCATCTCGTCCTCCACACTGAGCCTGCCATTTCTGTCCAAGCATCTGGCACATGTCAGGATGCTCACAGAGAATGGGGGCCAGCAGTCAGCCATGCACAACAGATCTTTCTCAGGACGCCAGAA